TCAGAGGGAGGGTCTAGGCTGGCCGCTTCCTGCCTTCCCTGCTTCAAAGTCAATGCTGTCCATTTCAGGGAGGTAACTTTGACTGAAACACTGCTTTGATCATGCCATTAGCTGGCTCAGGAACTTTGAATACTTTTTGCTGCCTCTAGTGTAATGGCCAAGTTCTCCATAATTGGCCCTAACATACAGTTATTGTACTCGATGGCTTTTAAGGTCATTTACAAACGTGAGTCTATGTTGAATAATTTTGCTGTAATAGTTTTACTTTCTGCAGCTGTCCTATCTGCCTCATTTTTCTGCTTCCTGGCTTCCATTCTCTTAGACTGCAGTTGATTGTCTTCCTCTATTAAAATTGTACCTTCAGGTTTTCTGTGGAAATCTCAGATCATATCAGACCAAAATAATCTTTTATTATTTCCTAAACATTCAGAGCAATGACTCTGCATAAGATTTATTTGGTAAAACTTGGTAAATGGTCACACACACCCTTGGCACACTCTTCTGTTATTTGAATTTTTTATTGTGTGTGCACGTGGGCAAGGATAGAAATGAATATGCAAAAAATAAATGAGCTAAGAGATAACATGGGTTCCTTTTTCTATGACTATCTTCCAGTGTGCTATTATTTTTACAAAAGTATATAACAAGAGGTTACTTTCCACCTAAAGAATAATCATTTTGCAGCAACTGGTCCCAGAAATCCAAAGATACTATTGTTAATGATGTATTTAGGGACCTTAAAAGTATTAAGTACTTTTAAAATCATTATGTCTTAGAGCTAATAAACCTAATTTGGGTTTATACATTTTAGTGTTTTAGCAAAGCCTTCCACAGTGACTTGTGAATAATAGGAATTTATACAATTAACAAATACACATACACACATAATAAGAAGCGATGGGGTACTTATATCTCACATTTGAGACAGAAGCACTTTTGGGGGGGGCTTTGCATTATGCTCACACATATTCATTCTTATAGAGCTTATTCTTTCTTTGTTATTTGTGTATGCATCTCACCCCTTGCTCTAGATAAATTGTAGGTTACAAGGACTGTACCTTATTCATGTTTATGTCTTCTGCTGAGTGTCTTGCAGATAATTGGTGTCCTAAAATTTTTGGCTTATGTCAAATGAAAACATTATATATGGGCTTGTTTTACGGTATTATGGAGATAACCAGTTAAGTACCCATGACCAAGATTTTGTCCAAAGGCTCAAATCAACTTGAAAGTCCCTACATTATTCTGCATGAACACATTTTTAAATAAGGATTTTGAAATGCTTTCAGTTATCATTGCATACATAGAAATTATGATTAGAGATGTTTTCTAATGTGACAACTTACTTTTTTTAAAAAGATTTTTATTGGGGAATTGGGGGAAGGGGAACAGACAAGTTGCTATCCTTTTGTTCTTCAGTCTAGCTGTGGAGGACATTGCTTCACTGGCCCAAGTTGGCACCATCATTGCGCTCTTCCCGGACGAGGCAGATCAGTCGCCGGCTTCTGGACGGCCGCTCACAGCAGCTTCTGGCCGCTTACGCTGGCTGTTGGCTATACACAGTAGCCCATGGCAACCCACCTGCCATATCTGGTGACTCCCGGCAGCCCAGCTCCAGGTTGAGCTGTTGTTCAGCATCTTAGCTGTGGAGGGCAGTGTCACTGGCCCTCATATGTGGGATCCGAACCCGGGCCCTCTGGCATCCCAAGCCAGGTCTTAACCAACGCACCACTCGGCTGGCCCACAACTTACTTTTTATTATGTCACTTGTGGAATGACTTCAAGTACCTAAGTAGGTCATTGACAACAGTATCTTTGGATTGATGGGGACAGTTGCTGCAAAAAGATTATTCTTTAGGTGGAAAGTAAAGGTAATTTAGTATTTGTTCTAACAGTAATATTTGAGGTTGGCTGTAAAATAAATGTTTTTCCTTCTGCATATTCTTACAAGTGATAGATGCTAAATATGCATCAATTAGTAGATGAAAACTCTGTCAGTGGAAAGTCTCTTGACCTAGTGTAAGTCATAAGCTTCTGAGAGTAGCTGCATCTCAAGGAATCTTGGATCTAAAAGGAACCTAGTAAACAGCTAGTCTAGTCCCTGACACCTTGCCTCTGTCTCTCCAACACATACACACACACACACACACACACACACACACACACACACACTTTACAGCTAAGAAACACTGAGGTCATACTCTCTGCATAAGCTAGCACAGAGTCATCAACAATCTCTGTGTCTTTTGCTTTATATTCAGCTTCTTTTGTTTTCTGTGATTTTAAGGGGACTTACTCATAATTTGAGGGTTCCCAATGGTTTGCCTACTCCAAAATAAACACCTGTGGGTCTGTCATAGTTTGGTGTTATCACCACAAGTCAGTGGTTTATTTTAAAACATTTCTCCTTTAAAAAAAAAAATCCTGAACACAATTATGGTACTTGGAAGAGGTGACTGTAGCCAGGAAGAAGGCGTGGTCACATTAGAGTCTTAGGTTTCCCGTGTCTTCCTAGAAGAGAGGAGAGCCTGGAGGGCCCTGGGGAAAGAAAGCTTGGGAAAGCTCTGAAGCCCCAGGCCGCAGGGCATGGTGGGCAGCCAGAGGGCACGCGGGCGCAGCAGACTGCTGGTCCCAGGCGGACACGGGCTTCAGCTCGTTCACAGCCTCACCACGGAAACTTGAATAATGTAAATCGGGGTTATGTAGAGAAATGGTTGGCGAGAGATGACTTTCATAGTGATTAAGGAATTAAACATTTACCTAAAAACTAGAAAAATAACAACAAAGAATGAGGAAAGAAGAAAGAAGCTGAAAATCCTGAAATGAGCAGATTGCAAAACAAAAATAAACACCCAATATCTTTAGTCATTAAATACAGCGTGGCCTTCCACCAGCCACCCCTTCCCCACCCTCAGCAGAACGTTGAATATGGTTTTCATGAGTTTGAGTGAAGGGAGAAGCAGCCTAAATGCATCCTGGGAGATTATCAAAAATTGCTGTTTTAACAACTGTTCTAAGTGTGGTGTTGATTTCTGATGCACTATTGATCCATAATATCCCATCATTTTAAACAGTTGATTGATGACTTTATCTCCCTCTTCTTTATTTTAGACTATTCCGTTGATTTCCAAAACAGCTTCTATAAACTAGTAAACCACCAGTTAGAGGGTTCAGTATTGCTAGTCTTCCCAGAATAGCCAAAATGAGTTGTGTTTTCTTATATCGATAGGCGTTTACTTATGGATTCACCAAAAGAAAGCCTTCATTCTTTTGAGAGAGCGAGAGTAACATAGAACCTAAATATGTGGGCTCTGGGGCTAAATTGTTGACGTCATGCCTGGCTCTTAACCCCTCTGTGTCACGTTATAATGGTACCAAGCTCATTGGACTTTTTATTCAACAGATAGATGTTGATGCCAACTGTAGCCTGTGCCAGGTAGTTTCTAGGCACTGGGACCATAGCAGTGAAATGGACAAACGCCCCTGCTCACAATGAGCTTACATTCTAATGGGGGGAGACAAACAATAAACACACACAAAAAAATCAGTAAATTATGTAGTATGTTTAAAGGTGAAAAATGCCATAGAGAAAAATACAACAAGGTAAAGGGGATGAGAATCCCGGAAGGAGGGAGGGATACAATTTTGAACAGGGTGGTCATGTTAGGTCTCACCGAAAAGATAAATTTTGACGAAGACTTGAAAGGGGTGATGTTGGGCACCATGCAGATGTATGGGGGGAGCGTGGTCTAGGCAAGGAGAGCAGCTAGCATCATAAAGGCTTGGAGGTGGGAGTATGCTGGTTGGGTTTGCAAAAAAGAAAGGAGCTGAGTGCGGCTGGACCTGTCTGCGTTGAATGAAGTGGAGAGTAGGAGTTGATGAGTCAAAGAAACAGGGTGGGGTCAGTGGAGGAGAGCTTGTGGACCATTGAAGAAGGGCTTTGACTTTTATCCTGAGAGCAGTGGTGCTGCACAGCAGTGGAGGGTTTTGAGCAGCAGAGTGACAGGACCCCCTTTTAAAAAGGACCACTCTGGTTTCTATGTTGAGAATAGATGGTAGGGGAACTAGTGTGATCGCAAGAATCCAAGTGAGAGTTAACGGTGGCTTGGACCAAAGTAGCAGCAATGGAAATGGTAAAAAGACACTGAATTTTAAGCACATTTTAAGGAGTAGAATCAATAGCATCTGTTGATGATTGGCTGTGGAGTGTGAGAGAAAGAGGAATCAAGGATTTGGGGATAAGCACTTGGAAAAATAGGGAATTGCCACAAATGAAGAAGGGGACGACTAGGCATGACAGGTTTTAGGGGAGAGATTATGATGCAGTTTTGGCATATGAGGTTTGAGATGCCCATTGGACACCCAGGTAAAGATGTTGAGTTGTCAAAAAACCTACGAGTCTAGACTTGGTGAGACAGGGCCAAGCTGGAAATGCAGGATGGGAGCTGTCTGAATATAGTGGAATTCAAAGCAGTGAGATTGGATAAAATCACAAAGAGTATGGGACCTGGATTCAGACTCCTTGGTACCACCACTTATTAGCTGAGTAACTTTGGGAAATCCATTTAGCTTCTCTGTGACTCAAGTCTCTCCATGTAAAATGAGAAGAATCATAGTAGTAACATTAAAATCACTAGTATCTGCAAAGCACTTAGAACATGGCATATACTTAACAACTGTTGACTGTTGATTTTTAGTACAACTCTTCTGTATACCTTCGGGCCATCACAGATGCTGGCACTGACTCATATTGTTATTGATTCAGCATTGCAGCTTTTCTTGTTATTATATTTTTGGTTTGTGATTGCTAATTGGTACTAGGAGCTCCACTGAGTTAGTTTTGCTTCCAGAATTAAACTGACCTGGATTTTTTTTTCTATATCAGCTCTGCCTCAGTTATTGATATATTTTTAAATCCTGTATATGTTTTACTATCTGTTACTTGTTCAGAAAAAAGTCTCATGAGTTTCTTCAGTGCAGCTCTCCTTTCCTTTTCCCAGTGCCCAGCAGAGGAGCAGTCAGGTTCACAAGAAAAACACAATTGGAAATCAGGTAGGAATTGTTTAAAAGAATCAGTGCATGCCTGCCCCAGAGAATTTGAACTAAATCGCTTGATTGACTATTTTTTTTAATGCAAATTAATCATGTGCAAATTTTGCTGGAAATGCAGCTTTCTGTTTTGTTTTGGCTCTTTTAAGTTTTTAGAGTGAATTGCATTTTCTTTTTTATTCTATTTTTGCTATATTATGCAGTTAACTCTATTGATTTCTTTTAAATCACTTTTCTGCTATTTGCACTGCTTTTCAAACTTGACTCCTGGTGCCCTACTTTGCTTGCTTACATTACCTGTAAATTTGATTTAACATCCAATCTGTGAGTCAGTTCCTGATTAAAATACGGTGAGTAGTTGCATGAGCTTTCTGGTGCTGCTGACTAGTTCACACATTTGCACAGCTTGGTAACAGTGAAGGGACAGCTCATAAAGAGGGCAGTTGTTGGATTGAGTCTCTGCCACGCCAAATTCCTGTTGGTTAATACAGATGTTGATTCCTAAGACCGATCTGATCTTTTGAGGTTTTGTGTTTTGGGCTGACCCGCTGTCTCTGACTAATAGCGCTCTACAGAGATTGCATTAACTCCGACAGTTTGCTGTTTCTTTTATGTTTTATGTGATAATGAATATTTGCTTTGTTATTTCTTTTCAAGTCAAAACAATGATGACTTTATAGGGTTTTTGTTTTTGTTTTTTTTAAATTCAGAGGTACAATTATTGAACAAATTGAAACCTCTGCTCTAGATTTTTTTTTCCATTGTTTTGAAAGGAGAAGAGGTAATAACAGACTTTATTTAAAAAATTTTTTTTCTGGACTAAAGCATATAATTCTTTGCTATTTCAGGGAACCAATCTTCCGCCTTCAAGGCAAATTGTACGAGCTAAGTTCTGTAAGCTTTACTGTTGCTTTTTCATTTAGCTTCCCAAGGGCACAGTTTGTCTTTAACTGATTAACTCAACTAGCGCTTGCTACTAATTTTTTTAAACTTAGATTGTCTTGTTCATAACACCTTATCATCGACATAAAAATTCTTTTAAGAAGGTTCATCCCTTCACTGCTAATAACTTGCTGTGATTGAAAGGTTTGAACTAGTAAACTCTAAACTGCTGTAGTAATAAACCCTTAACATCGTGGGTGCTTTGATATTTCCCTAATTTTCATGGGCCTTAAAATAATTAAAATCATTAATGATCTCCATCTCTGTCCTTTTACGCTATGTTGTTCTTTGGTGTAAACCTTTCTCTTTCCCTTGTATGATAATATTTTCAATAAATGTAGATGACACTTCTAAAAGGTGGGTGACTATTGAACATCTGGTTTTATCATATTTGTTGATAAGCCTCCCCGATGACAATTACTTGTATTTATTTATTTAAAATACCAAAACAAAAATGACATCGACTGATATTTCACATGGCTTTAGAGTTGAATCTTTTAAAACCAGATACCACATCTTCATTTTATGAAAAGTGTAAAGACACAGTCAAATAACCAGCATAGTCAGTTTTTTGAAAAACAGTTACACTCTCATTGCTACCAAGGATGCAGCAGCCTCAAAGTGTTCCTTCCAACATGCACACATTGAGAATGAGATTGGAGCATGGTGTTTTGGAAGAAACAGACTTTGGCGCTAGACATCCCTGGGTTCCAGTTGTGCTCTGTCACTTTGTAGCCATGTGGCCTTGGACAAAGAGAGCCTGCGCTTGCTCAATTGTGGGATGGGAAGAATAGAAACTTATCTCTACAGGGTGATGTGAAGATCAGAAGTAATATACGTAATGCGGTTTGCAGCTGGTCCTGGGTGTGTGCACTGTAAAGAGTAGAGAACTTGCCCCCAGCCGGTTGGTGCTGCTGCTTGAAACTTTGGGGAGAAACATGATAAAGTATAAGAAAATTATAAAAGCTGTAAAACTAGAATGATGAAGCGGTTTGGAAAATTGGAAGCTACAGCAAATTATTCAAAAGATTGCAATGCCCCGATTCAGGCTGGGTGTGTTGTACAGGACTGACTTATAAAACTTCCACAGGCTCAGATGCATCTCTAGCTCAGGGAAGTGGATACTCATTGGAAAAGCAGCATAAATGCGGACTGCAAGTCAGATCTGCAAGGAAACTCTGAGCCAGTTTTCAATTACATCACTTCCAAATGCTCAAATCATGCTAATGCGTTTCTGTGACTTGACTTTTGCTGAGCACTTCAAAGCCCACACATTATGGATGTTTTATAACTCAAGATAATACAATTGGGGGAGTGCTATAATAAGATGCAGACACTTTATCCAAAACTTTTGGGTCCAGATGTGCCTTGAAGGTCAGAATTTTTTGGATTGTAGAAAAACAATACATTGCGTCTATTGTATGTTACCCAATATTTCTGTGGAGTCAGAGGCAGCACCCTGTAATTAAACACGTTCTATTTCTGTAGTGAAACCAAAGGAATAGTCACACCAGATAAATTAAATGAAAGATATAAATGTTTTCATGTCAAGTCAGGTTTTGCTGCCAGATTTGTTTTAAAAAACACTTTTTAATTTGCCAGGAAGGGATTATGAACCCGAATAGCTTATTTTCCGGAATCAAATCCAATCATTAATGCAATCAATATAGTTTAAGGAATCCTTTATTGTTTTTTCTCTGCTTAGCAGACATGAACCACAATGACTTGCAACCATTTTCTTTATGAATCTGAATATCCGATGTTGATTTGAGTTTGTTTTAAAACAGCTCTCGCCTTATGAAGAGGCTCCCAGCCAGGGAGCCGTGGCGTCCAGCCTGCCGACTGATGTCCATGGCTTTTGTGGTTGGTGGGCTGAAATATCCCACAGTGTCCTAGCCAGTGGTTCATCCATCCTGATACCCTTTTAAAGCTCCTGGTTGTCAGAGGTTGCTGTACAGGATCTGTACTAAAATATTTTAGAAGGATTTGAGGAAAGCAAAGCTCCTCTTTGAAGTCTAAATCCCATTCACTTTTGTCTGCCTCGAAATTTAGAATTTTGGCTGCCTAGAAACTTGTCTGCTTAGAGGTTTTACGAATTTATGTCTACAAATGTACAAAAATATGTGACCACACAATTATGGTCAAGTTGATCTGACTAAAAATTTAAACTTAAACTTTATGCAACCCTTCACTCATCAAATGTGTCTTCAAAACCCGTGAGTGCCCAAAACTGTGGTAGGTATTTGTAATACAATAGAATGATGAATAAATCAGGGGCCCTGTCCTCAGGGAGCTCACAGCCCAGCGCAGATGATGGTAAGTAAGTAAGCTGAAGTTGGCCTCCTTTTTCAAGGCCAGCTCCTTCTGGTCCTCCAGGTCTCGCTGAAACGGCATTGGTGCAAGAGCCTGGCCGACACTTGGATTTAAAGTCACCCTCCCTCCCCAGTATCTTACTATTATCTATTGTTGTTGTTTTTTTTAAAGATTTTTATTGGGGAATTGGGGGGATGGGAACAGCGCTGGGGAATTGGGGGAAGGGGAACAGACAAGTTGCTGTCGTTTTTTGTTGTTCAGTCTAGTTGTGGAGGACGTCGCTTCACTGGCCTAAGTTGGCACCATCATTGCACTCTTCCTGGGCAAGGCAGATCAGTCGCCGGCTTCTGGACGGCCGCTCACGCTGGCTGCTGGCTACACACGGTAGCCCATGGCAACCCACTACCACAGGGGCTGCAGCCTACGCCGTCGCTGGCAACTCACAGCAGCCCAGCTCCAGGTTGAGCTGCTGTTCAGCATCTTAGCTGTGGAGGGCAGTGTCACTGGACCTCATATGTGGGATCCAAACCGGGGTCCTCTGGCGACCCAAGCCAGTTCTTAACCATCGCGCCACTCGGCCAGCCCAAGATAAAAGTTTTATGGTTATCAGTGTATATTCCTGGTAGCTGAAGCCATGGAGGCATATGAGATCACCTCCAGAGGATGAGAGCATAGAGGAAAGTATGGGATTTAAAGGATGATGGAGAAAGAAGAGTTGGGAAGGAGGAAATGAAAACGAGTCTAAGAAGTGATGAGAGAGGTAGGAATACTTGGAGAGCAGTGGAATGCCAATGGAAGAGAACATTTCAAGGAGGGAATTGTCCAATAAGATTAGAGTTTCCAGGAGCTCAAGAAACAGTGGGGGGAGTTGTTAGAAAGTTGGACTGGTATGAGGTCCTGTGCAGTGCTGCAGACTAAGGCAGCACCAGTTTTCTTGGTCTTGTGAATTGCTCTTCTACTCTACAGCTGGCAGGTAGCAAAAAGCTGAGAAAGCAGACAAAGAAATTGATACCCTGAGCTGGGGTCTTTCTAGGGAGGCAACATGTAAGGTCAGGAGAGCGGATGAGTTAAAGTTTTGCAGAGAGACAGGTTGAAATAAAAACTGTATAATCTAATGTGAATGATTTTGATTGTTGTATTAGGACATTAGGAAAGGTCAACCAAGTAACAAACATCCCTGGAGTTTAAGAGTCTGTCGCTCTTAAACTCCACCCTCGCATGACTTTCTGGTTCTGATATCTATATCAGGATTCTTTCAGACCTACATTTCAGAAAAATTCAACTTAAACAACATTGGAAAAAAGCAAATTTGTTAGTTTACAGAATCTAACATTTCATGGATAGAGTTCAACACTGTTTTACTCATGGTTCATTGTCAAGATGAATTGGTTTGATGGACCACAATGAACTGGACAAACTTTCCATATTTTGGTTCTGCTTCTTTGCTGTTGGCTCCATTTGTGGGCCCACAATAGTTACAGCATGGCAGCCATCAGTCCCCAGGAGATTTCCTTTCTAGTTTGAATCCAGCAGAAACAAATGAGTGTATGGAAAAACTGAGGGCCACTCTGATTGGACAGGCTTGGGTCATGTGCTCATTCCTGAACCAATCACTGTGGCCAGAGAATGAGATGTACTGATTGGCTTGGCCAGATCGCATGGCCTGAAAATGGGGGTGGGCTCCTTTCCACCTGAAAGTCAGAGGTGTTGTTGGAAGAAGAGAGAATGGACACTGCAGGTGGTGTATCACAGGTGATGGCTGCAGGTACTTTTTGAGCAGCGTTTGTCTTTAGAACAATTTATTTTGGATAATAAGAATCTATATATGTTGTCTTAAAGGAATATAACATGATTAGTAACTTAGTAACTCATCATTAAAACCCTATGTTTCATTTACTGATTACATTTAATGATTTTTCCAATTCATTCTCCAACCTTTTCCCCCACTTCCCTCTCCTCTTTCTTTCATTTCTAAAGAAAATTACATTGACTTTACTAAGTTGAGTGGTAATACAGTGCAATGGTTCTTCAGAGCTGGAGCTGTGAAGCCACTGTCGGAACAGGAGCAAGTAATTCACCTCCTTGCTCCTCAGGTTTCTAGTCTGTAATAGTCTGATAATAATAGTATCTGCTTCATAAGCACTAAATGAGATGTTAAATTAGGTTCTCAGAACAGGACCTCACTGGCAGAAAGTGCTATGATTGTGGCTGTTATATATTTGTATTATGTTGTTCGACTTTAAGAAACATAGTAAAATAATTGCTTTTGTTTTCTAATTGAGTCGTTTTCCACCTTGGAAGTGGGAAGGCTGCTATAATACAAAGCAGCAATGAAATCTGCATCTCCAGTCATGGTTCATGGATTCATTTTGAGGGCAGCTTTCTGAATACAGAATAAGAAAAATGCCCCTCACCCCAATATTCTAATAAGTAGTTTAACATATATTTTTAAGTAGATGTGCTACATTTTTAGAGCTAGTCAGCTGTTCGTTTCCAAGTTCTTTTAATTAAAAGTGCTTTAAAAAACATTATTTGTAGGAAGAATTGAATAAATTTTTCATCCACCCCTCTATTGATCTTCAAGGTAGCCAGATTTAATGAAACCCCTATCGTGGCAAGTCAC